ATAACTTCAACTAAATTCAGGAATAAGAATTAGTTCATGAATGCATCCTGGTTAAAGCAACCACTGTCAAAATATTTTTCTCCATTTGAATGTATTTTAATAAATGCTGATATTATTTTTAACCAAGTTGACTTACAAGCAGAATTTCTAGATTCCTCAGTAAGTTTATGGAGAGCGTAAACTTTTCCAAAAATTTGGAGAAAGGGAGCAGACATTCAGTGGAACAAGGAGAGTACAGAATTAGAAAAATATTATTTGATGAAACAAACAAATAAACTTCCCATTTTCTCCTTTGAACAGTCTACCTCAGCTTTACAACCACCAGATGTGTTTGGACTGTACTGTTCACATTTCCTAACTGTTCCACTATAACTTTCACAAAGTTTCTGAACAAACAAAATGGTGGCCCAACTCATTAGAAAACATATATTTGAAACTTGGCAATAGATATGCAAAGAATACCTAAATTTTGTCAATGCTATGAAGATAACATAAACATTGGCCTGACCATAACCTAACAGAGAATTGATGAGTACCACATGAATATGCATCTATTGTTATTACTAGTACATTTTTTGTTATTATTATTAGTACAGTCAGTCAGATGTTTAGACTAGATTTGGCATTTTTATCCACCACCATCTACTGAGTCCTTCCTAATGACCTAGAGTAGGCAGCTATTGTTGTTTAATAATATTAAAGGCACTGCCATAGGATGTAAGCTGTTCCAAATAAACCTGCTTTTTGCAACTGACTGATGGTTATTTTATCAATACCGAGTGTTCGAATGTTTTGGGATTGCACCCAAAGAACACATTACTATTGGTACTACCTTTGTTTTCTTTTGCCACGTCGTTCTATTTGCAGATCTTTCTATTTTGCAACTTTCTCCAGTTCCTTCTCTTCTGTTCTGTTGTTTCCAAGTACTGCCATATTCACAATCCACACTTTTTTTGTCTTTCTTATCGACAATTGTTAGGTCTCGGGTGTTATGTGGCAGGTGCTTGTTTACGTTCCAAAATCCCAGAGAACTTTAGCTTCATCATTTTCTATTACTTTCTATTATTTTGTGGTCCCACTGGTTCTTGCTTGCAGGCAAATGGTATTTCTTGCAAATATTCCAATGAATCATTGTTGCTACTTAGTCAAACTATTGTTCGTAGTCACTCTGTGTGATCCTCTTGCAGCTGCTAATTAGCTGGTCCACTGACTCTTCAACTTTTTATTCTTGCCTTTGAGCCAATGTTGATTCCTATTGACTGTCTGGAAAGTCCCTGCAATTTTCTTGGCAAAATTTGGGAAGTGGCTTGCCATTGTTTTCTTCCTATGGTTGAGAGAAAGTGACTGGCCCAAGATCATCCAACTAGCTTTGTGCCCAAGGCAGGACTAGACCTCACACTCTCCCAGTTCCTAGAGTGATGGCATAACCACCAACTATCATTCATACTATCAGAGGGGCAAGAAATTACACTCAAGCATTCTCCATCATGCCCAAATACATATTTATTGGGAGATCGCTTTCTCTAACTAGCAACTGCCATCAGCAGCCATGAAACTATGAAAGGAAGCAGCAGCAGCCTTTCCACTTGATTAGACCCAGTCCTTTGATTACTACATGATACAAGAGATACACTTGCTTTTTCCCTCTAACTTTAGTTCCTTCTGTATTATTCCTTTCTGATTATAAGCTGTAGGCAACAACGTTTGGATTTCTGATGATACAAAATACCTGGAAGCTTTTTTTATTCAAAGGTGGGATCATTAGTAATATCTAAACAGAGCAACACAGATCTACATGTAAGTGGACAAGAAACCAACAAGGCTGACAGTAATGTAAGGACAAATGAAAAAAGTGAGAGTCATCCTTTCTTTGCCTGATCTTTACATTACAGATATTGCAATAGCCCACAAGATTTTCTTTCAAATATACAGTACATATAGTTGTTTACGGAGACAGAGATAGACAAAAGGCCTTTTTGGCCCAAATTTAGCTAAATCCCTATGTCAAACTTCTTTTCACAGAGAGGATTAGACTAGAAATTGGTATTATTTGAACATGCAAGGTAATGAATACAGATCTAAATAACAGTGCATAACTGACTGAAAGGTTCTGTTATATTATTCTTAGATTACTATATACAAAAAGTTACAACTGGTTTTCTTGCCTAAGTCGGATTAGCTAAAGTTATTTGATGCTGGCTCTACCACCTTCAGTTCAAATCTTTTCAATATTCAAGGCCAGTTTGATTTGTTTGTTATATATCCATAACAAGAAATCAAACAAAACAAATCCATGGACACAACTTTAGCAAGCTCCCCTTTGTCACTTTTCCTTTCTAAATGTCACACCTTTACTGCATCACTATTTCAACCAGTTTACAATTTTACAGACATTTCCCAATTCTAAACTGAAAAACTACTGGAAAGTGCTTTTTTTATACACAAATGTCCAAGTTTCCTATAGCTGTAAAATGTTCAGATGTTACTCAATTTTTGAAAATATGACACTTGTAGAAGATGCTCTCTCTAGCAAAAACTATAACATGCAGGAGACCGCCAAGATTCAACCCTGAAAAATACTCTACAAGTGCTGCTGTTGCCAGAAGTCCATCAATCTCAAATTTAGTAAAGAGCTGAAAATGTCCAGTTCCCTTGTCACCTATAGGAAGTTAGGCAATCAAAAAAAGGGCACGTACAATACTTAACATTTTTTAGCTACAAATGGCTAAGACAAATGAAGCCAGCGTTAGTAACTATTCTGGATTTGCAAGGGTCTGACATTATTAATTTATTTCAATGCATAGCAAACATGAAAAGTAATTACTATAAGCATATGAGGTGTCTGCAGTTCTGTTAAAAATGTACAATGTCTTTGCATGCCATCCAACAAGTTTCAAGGGAACTCAGAACCAAGTATTCTTACTCTAATGAAACTTAAATTATACACATCATTTAGAAACTCTTGCAAATGGTCCACAGCTTTGTTTCAGGATTTCTGGGCTGCTGCAGGGATGCTGGATTAGAAAATAATCAATGCTACTTATTTTCTAGAAAGAAAGGAAGAAACCAGGATTTGCTCACTTTGTCTTTGCCTAAGATTTAATCTCCCACAAGCCTAATAATGCAGGGGAGAAGACACATGTCCTGCCCTGCTAATTTGTTCTCTGAGAAGGAACTTCTTTTTCAGTAAAGAAGAAAATCAACAGATCAGGCATGCAATGCAGAAGAGTGATCTCTGACATCGAGCAAACAAATTCTAATTTATGCTTTTAGAAAAGAACCCTGGTCCCCTTTCTCAATGCAAAAAAAGCAAATACAGTGGCAGAAAAGGAGATGAAACACAGCAAAAAACCTCTTCTTGGTTCTATCTACTTTAAATATTTCTCAGATTTATTACTAATCCATGGTCTGTAGAAAAATGAATGTAGTCCTCCAGCTAAAGTGGCTCACCAGTGCTGTTCTCATAATTTTTGTAATCATCTTATATGATTGACATTCCTTTATTTTACTTAGTTTTTCTGATCTAGCCCCTAGTCTGAGGTTATTCTGTTTTGAACTGACCCTTTAGATTTAACATCCTACTCTCTAACCAAGCTAACTATGATAATAACACTATCTGTCTGTTAATTAAAACTGATGTGTGAATAGGGGTTAAAGACTCTCACTGTATCTGGTTAGACAATTTAGCTGTGAACGGTAATTGAAAAGATAATATCATGGCACTGTCAGGCGCATGGGGGGGCGGGGAGAGGGAATAAGTCAATAGCAAGGATTCTAATGTTTCCATATCAAAACTCTACTGAAATTCTGCTAGTAAGCAATAGCATAGTTATATTTTAGAGACACCTATAGGCATTGTTGAATTTAGTCTTCCTCTACATATATTTGACTTTTCTAAATGTTTCCTTTCCCTAATTTTTACAAACCTCAGTTCATTCAGTGAGGCTCTGCAGACATCATCAGATAAAAACTTATCACAAGCTCTCGATTCTTGAAGCCTACACAATATACAGCAAAGGTAAAAATAGCCTACACAATATACAGCCAATGTAAAAATAGTTCGGTTTCACACCCGAGATCAGTGAATGCAGCCACACCCCATTCTTTCAATTCTCTGCTCAGTCCATAACCACATGGTCTCCTTCAAGCACATTCAGGCATAAGCATACTTATAAAATCAATTTATCAACACTGATTAACAACCTACTCTAGAGAAAACAGGTAACAGGGCAGTAATGGAAAAGTCCATTTCAATATTCTGAGCTTTTTTGGAGCTTTTCCATTTAATTCAGTTGTAAAGTCTTGAAGCTCCCTAAAAATTCACTCACAAAATATAAACAGGAAATGATTGGCAATTACAATAGGTTTCACAGATCTGCCATTATCAAACGAGTTTGATAAATAATGGACTTCTCATTAAAACCATTTTTTGTGTTAGTAAATTAGTAACTAATAGTAATGCTAGTAAGTAAACACTGCTTAGCTAACCTAGTTGGTATGTTACAGTTTTGCTGTGATCTGCTGTGCTAAGCTTTTTCATCTCATTACTTCTTAATGTTTCCCTTCTCCCTTTTCTTTCCTTTCTTGTTAATTAAAAACAGCATTCAGCATTCTGATAAACTCATCCAGAAAAACAATCAATACTCTTTGCATCTCTAGCTGTGATTAACAGCTCTGTAACACAGGCCACCACTATTAATAAGGGAGACTATAGTGAGAGAAATTAATATTGAGATTGACTTATTTCTGCGATTCTTGTATTAGTAAATAAGTTTTCAATCACGGAGCGGTTTTAAGCAAAGCCTCAGGGCTGAGGAAATACACCTCAAAACTTGAACGACTAGTGAATTTGAATCAGAATCATTTTGGAGAAAAGATGGGTAACTCTACAAACACTCCGCAGCTCTCCTAACTTTCGAGCAATCGTGGCTAGCAAAATCACAAACAGTTCCTGGTGGCTTCCGCCTCAACCCCCACCCGTATTCTCCCACTTGCTTGACCTGGAGGAGATGGCAGAGGAGCACCGGACACGCTCGCTGAGGTCACAGAGTGCCTGGTATTGGAGGTCGCGACCCTTCTCACGCTCTAAATGGTAGGCGTAGAGCGAAAGAATAATTCCGGCCAGACACACGATGTAACGGGCCACCCGCTCCCAGCGCGGCACCGAGACTCGCAGCAGGACGGGCGCCGCCATCTTAGCCCAGCCCTCGCTTAGGCGGACCCGGCAGAAGACTTCTCGCCCCTGTGCGCGCGCAGGGCACGCTACACCACGCCGAAATGCAGAGCGCGCGCACCACTTGTTCATTGGCTTGCCGCCGTAAGGAAAACCACACCCACTTTCTCCTGGCGTCGGCTGCTTGCCGGGCCATGGGTGTTTCTCCTCCTCTTTTTTCTGTTCTGAGCAGAACGTGGCGCTTTCCGTCGTACCAGAGGCGAAACCAACTAACCAATCATTCGCGAGCGCGGGAGGCAACCCCGCCCACCTGCCTCTTAAGAAGTAACGACATCGCGAGATTTACTGTTTGAAACAAGGAGTGGAAGTCTGGTTTTGACTCTTGCTCTCACAAGCTGCGATTTATTGTGTTAAGATTTTTCAAAAGATTTTCTGACCATACATCTTGAATAGCTTGCAACACACAATAGCTCAGCTGCTCAACTATGGCTTAGTGAATAAACTGACTAGCTGAATTCATCCATTCAGCAATCAGGGCACTGAGGGGGCTAGAAGGGGGCAAAAAAGAGAAACAGTTGGAGTTGTTGAATATGTTTAGCCTGGAGAAAAAAATGAGTAGCATGATAATTGTGAAAGGTGAAAGCGCACCATGCAGAAGATGGACCGAACTTGTTCTGGTAGGACTAGAAACAAGGGCTTAAATAATAAAGTAGATTTTGGTGAGTCATCAGAAAAAATCAACAATGGTACAGAGTGCTTTGGGGGGTGTTGAAAGTGTTGAAATAGAGGCTGGATGGGCATCTGTTAGGGATACTGTAGTAGAAGATTCCTGCAGTGAGCAACATTGGGCTAGATATTTAGGTCTCTTAATCCTTTGAAGGCCCAATCCTTACATTCTCTAATTCAATAAAGGAAAAATGGTTGGATATGTAGTTGAATCCATGGCACAGATAGTATTCTCTGAGATAAGATAACCTTTATTGTCATTTTTTTATTGTGGGCACAACAGCACACATCAAAAAATGAAATTTAGTTGCTAACAATAATGGAGCTAAGTAAGTCACTTTTGACACATTTTGGAAGTGGAATCTGTCAGGCATTTATAGCAAAAATCTCCAGAGAAATTCCCAGACACTGAACATAGTGCAGGTTAGTATTGAGGTTTGAACTCACCTAAAGGCTTTTAGATCTATGACGCAGCACAACTAGATTAAGGATCTTTACTGCATTCTAGCATGAAGCCATACAAACTAGTTGATTGCCCTCTGTTCAATTCTCTGTTGGGTTCTGCCAATATAAAATGCATGCTGTGGGGAAAGTGGACAGGGAGTTTTACTCTCTCTCTTCAAACACCAGAGCCAAGAATTACAAATACAACTGACTGGAAGGAGAAAAGAAAGTATTTAACAGAACACATAATTATGCTGTGAATTCATGGTTATTTGTGATGCATGGTGATGACCAGTTTCAAAGGTGATCAGATAAATCCACGGAGGCAGGTCTCTCAATGGCTTAGACTCTTGTTATCTCTGGGTCAGAGTTAGCATACCTTTGAATACAAGCAGACGGAGAGCAGTGGCAGTCTCATCTGCAGAGACATGTGCTTAATTGCTTTGAGAAACCAAGTGCTGATCTAGAAAAGGCCTTGATGGTTTGCAGCAAGGCTGCTGTTATGGTTTTCTTTCAAGTGAAGTCTCATTTCGCTTCAGCTCAAAGAAACAGATGGGTTCCATGGCAGTTTGAGTATTCTTCTTTTGTAACACTATCATTGTTTTATGTGCTTTAAGCAGATAGTTTGTCAACTAATAATGAGGAAACATGGAGATAAAATTTGTGACTAGAACTTGAACAAATAGAGCCTTCTTTATGCCAAGCAAAGATGATTCTGGTGATAATTTCCGGGGCACCTGCTGAAAAATATTCAAGGCCTTCTCTGTACTGTTTTGCCTTGTCTTTGTACTGTACATTTTTATGTACACAATTCTAAAAAAAGTAAAAAAAAATCAGAATGACCAAGGGTTATTTTTGTCTTTTGTTGTAGAGCAGGGGTGTCAAACTGGCAGCCCATGCGCCAGATGCATCACATGTAGGCCATGCTCACCCCAGCTCCGCAAAGGCAAAAAACGTGATACATCACATCACATGACGTGATCGAGTTTGACACCCGTGTTATAGAGCAACACTTTTTTTCAATGTTTACCAGAGTTTTCATTTTTTTGAAATTTAAAAATGCACTTTTCTCATTTGTAATTAATGACTCCCATAGAGAATGAAAATTCAAAATGTAATTATACTTTAAACATAGACTGAAATTAACAGTATAGATCAGGGGTTCTCAACCTTGGCAACTTTAAGACTTGTGGACTTCAATTCCCAGAATTTCTCAGCCAGCTTGCTGGGGAATTTTGGGAGTTGAAGTCCACAAGTCTTAAAGTTGCCAAGGTTGAGAACCCCTGGTATAGATCATGAACATTTTCATCTTCTTTATACTGCAGAAAAGTATAAAGAATTCCAGGAGTTGAAATCCACCCATCTTAAAGTTGCCAAAGTTGAGAAACATTACAGGTAATCGTCAACTTACAGCAGTTGATTTAGTGACTTTGAAGTTACAACAGCACTGAAAAAGTTGACTTATTACCCTTTTTCACACTTGCAGCATCCCCATGAAAATTCAGACGCTTATCAATTTACTCATATTTATGACAGTTGCAGTGTCCCGGGGTCATGTGATCATCTTGTGTTATCTTCTGACAAGCAAAGTCAACAGGGATGCCAGATTCACTTAATAACCATGTTAACTAACAATTGCAGTGATTCACTTAATAACTATGGCAGAAAAGTCGTAAAAAGAGGCAAAATCACTTAACAACTGTCTCACTTAGCAACAGAAATTTTATGGTCAATTGTGGTCTAAGTTGAGGACTACCTGTATTGTAGAATAGATGACAGAGTTGCAGGTCTCCCAGTTTCTAACCTCAGAACTGCGTCACCACGGCAACTCCTAGAGCCTGAGAAAGGTATAGTATTAAGATCCGGCTCTGTGACGCAGGTGGGAAGGACCCGCCTCGGCCTCAGCCAATGACAAGACAGAAGCGAGGGGGGGGGGAAGAGAGAGAGAGAGAGAGAGAGAGAACATTTCGGGGCGGAAGGCGAAGCCCAGGCGCCGTCATGCGAAGCGGGCGGAGCGGCACAAGGGCGTCCATAGTAGCGGCGCCCTCTTCTGGGTCGGAAGATTCCGAGTGGGAGGAGGAGCGCGTGGTGAGGCTGCGGGAGCGGGCTTGGCGCGATGGCCCGCGGGGTCCTGGATCCGGTGGGAAGGGCCGCAGCCGCCGCTCCAGGGAACATCGCACTAATTGGCGCGTCCCGGCCGGCCACGAACGGAAAATCACCGCCAAGATTCGAGCTAGCTTAGCCAAACGTCGCCTCCAGCAGCGCCCGGGGAGAGGACCTAGATCTGCCCCTCTGCAACCCAGAAAACGCGCAGAAGCCGACGCTAAGGTGCGGGGCTTGGCTGGCCGGTCAAACAAGCATTGTCCCGCTCTCAGAGCCTTCTCCGCTCTGGGTGCCTTACAGATGGGATAAGCCACAGTGCCTACCCTCCCCAGGCTGCACGGCTAATAGTCATGGGAATAAGGCTGCCCCGCCCAAACACCTGCAGGCATTGTATTCTTTGCGCTCCCCTCCCATTTCGGGAGCAATAGAATTGTAGAATCACTCAAGGCAAGAGCCTTATATTATCCCAGTCAAATAGTTGTCAGGTCTATTTTTGAAAAGACTCAGTGATGGAACAATGTTTGGGGCAATAATAAGGGCGCTTCGACTATATTTATAATAATAGATATGCTGCCGGAAGCTCAGTTCTCATCTTCCCTAGTACTTCTGATCTCTCTAGAACAAGATCTCCAAAATATATTTTTTTCTCTCTAGTTAATCTTTACCTGCCTTTGAGTTACAATATATTCCCCTTCAAAGGACTTATCATGTAGAGCAGAGTTTCACAACTGCAGAATTCTGGGAGCTGAAATCCAAATATTTCAAAGTCACTAAGTTGAGAAACACTGATATAGATTGTTCTTCTCCTTATGAGTTCCAGCCAGTCCTAACTCACTCTGGTGATATTAGGAAGCTGTTCCTGGATAAATGCATGTGCTCTTCAGTATTTTACAAAATATATTAGCATTGGTAAGCTCTTCCTAGTACAGTTCTGGAGATGTTTTCATTTCCTTTCTCATCTCATGATACCATCCAGTTAAAAGAGAATAGAGTCCAAATCATCCCTTGTGAACTACACTGCTGGTACAATTGGGCTTCTGGAGTACTTCATACAGTGAACCCTTTTTAAATTGGAAAACCAGCTCCTTTCCTTGGTTTCCTCCAAAGCAAATAAGGATCCTGCTGAATAAAGAAAACATCTAATTTCCATGTTTTCATGTATAGGAGTAAAATGCCCTTTGCAGATATGCCTTCTGATTCTATAATCAAAATGAAATGTTGCATTCTTCTGCTGTAGTCTTTCTCATCCCTGCTCCTTTTGGTTCTATAGATGCAGACAGTTATTTAACTGCACAGTGGATAATTCAGTCTGCCTTGAATGGGTACTCTTAATGCAGTGGTGGCGAACCTATGGCACAGGTGCCAGAGGCAGCACTCAGAGCCCTCTCTGTGGGCATGCGCACCGTCGCCCCAATCCTAGGCCTTTGTTTGGGTTTTATAAAACCATTTCGCTTTAGGTCTCCGCCGCCATGTGCAAAAAAAAAAAAGATTCAATCAATCAGTCAATTTCAACTTCTCAACGGGAAAAAAAAGATCTTGCAAAGTTGGAATTGATTGAGTGGACTTTTTAGTCCCACCCAGTCCGGCCATCCAATGGGCCACACCCAGCATAAGTGGGTGGCACCCGACGATGCATAAGTGGGTTTTAGGTTACAGTTTGGGCACTCGGTCTCTAAAAGGTTTGCCATCACTGCCTTAATGGCTTCACAAACATTTTAAGTCTCTTTCACCGAGGCAGTGAACCTTGCTTCCACAGGTCTATTGCTGCCAAAACTGGGCAAGGTAATCGGGCTGCAGATTCAAGGTACCTTATGTTTTTTGTTTTGTTTTTTCAGGTTCCAGAAACTATCACCTGCTGAGCATCTTTTCTCACAATCTCTGACTGCAGTTGCTCTGTAGCTGAAGAAACTCTCTTCAGGGTATGCTGCTGTGTACCAGAGTCTCTGTCCACTTTGGTTTCCTGTTGTATAACTTAGAAGCCATTTCTTTTCAATAACACCAAGTCTGGGCACTTTTGTTCCACTCTTTGCATTATTACATCTTTTTTCCCCACTTTTGTTATCTGTGAGACAACAGCTTCCTCAGGGGTTCCTCAGGTCTCCAGACCACATTTTGAAAATCATTGGTCTAGAAAAAAAATAGCTGTGTTTAATACACCTGAGTGAAGAACTGAATGAAAAGGAACTTGGATGAATCTGTTGCCTTTAAACTCAGTTACTCAAGTTGTTTGGAATTGGAAGAGAGACACTAATGTTGCAGTTACTTTTTCTCCTCCCCTCCCTCATTTCAGGCAAAGAAGTTTATTAAAGGCAGGGATGTCAAATGATACACTAAATGTGATGTAGCAGAAAGCAGCAAATTAATAAAAAAATATTGATTAGATGTGAGAAAAGTCAGGCAGCCTTAAAAAGGGGGGATCAAGTTTTTATAGAGCACAAAAACAGATAATCAGGATATGTCAGTGGTGGCAAACCTAAGGCATGGGTGCCAGAGGCGGCACTCAGAGGCCTCTCTGTGGGCACGTGCACTGTCACCCCAATACTAGGCCTTCAGCTGGGTTTTATAAAACTTTTTTGCTTTAGGCCTCTGCCGCCGTGTACAAAAAAAAAGGTTCAATCAATCAGTCAATTTCAACTTCTCGCAGGAAAAAAAAATCTTGCAAAGATGGAATTCATTGATTGAACTTTTTAGTCCCACTGCAGCCACGCCCACCCAATGGGCCACACTCACCCGGCACCCGACGATGCAAAAGTGGGTTTTGGTTGCAGTTTGGGCACTCAGTCTCTAAAAGGTTCGCCATCACTGGTATATGTGATACATCAGAAAACAAGTGATCAGACATTGATTACATGTGAGAATTAAACAATAGAAAACATTGATTCTAGATAACATTCTGCAAATGGTAAATTTGAGTTACATTATAGCACTTCCTTTTCCAGCCACTTTTCCAGCTTAAAACCTGCCAGTATATTCAAGGACCTCCAAAATCCGCTCCCTATAGTTTTCAGACTTGCTGAAAAGGCCATTTTTTGTACCCAAAATTATTTTGGCTAAAAGGAGAACATGGTTTCCTGAATTTCTAAAGGATGCATGGATGCCATGCTAAAATATTAATATTAAATAATTAATTTTAATTAACATTAAATATTAAAATATTAATATTAATAAAAATATTAATATCACCTTTATTAAAAACGAGATCCAGGCAGAAGAACATTGTGGCTTCAAAATCTAAGGGACTGGTTTGGACAAAACTCAGCAGCACTTTTTCGTGCGGCTGCTGATAACATGATCGCCAATGTGCAATAACGGATATGGCATAAGAAGTATTTTAGCATGGCATCCATGCCTCCTTCAGAATGATTAAAAAGCTAATAGTGAAGCCTAAAATTCTGGGTAGCATAGGTAGGCAATGAGGGAAAGAAGAGGTGGGCTGGTGCTTCCAAAACTACATATGGTATTCATTTCAGTGTATGTCTGCCATGCTGGGAAAGCAGGAAAGGGAAAAAGAAAGGCTGCAGCAGTATTTTGACTAAAACATCTGCAGCCTTCTCTGTGGATGCTCTCCAAATATGCTAAATTGCAGCTATTGCTGAAGTCTGGCACATCTGAAGAGCACCTAGGAAGAAAAAAAAATCAGGCAAGAAGTCTACAGGACCTCTAAGATTCCCTCCAATTCTGTTACACTGTGTAAGGGGTTTTGAGCAGAAGGCTAAAAAAATGGAGATGCGTCCTGGGCCTAATATTCAAATTTCCTTGAGGTCACTCTCGGGCCCCGCCCCAATCACGTGATCCAAGCGCCGATACCCTCTTCACGTTCCACAAACTCGGAGCTCTTAGGCCGAGGAGTCAGTTGCGTCATCGCGCATGTCTTTTGAGGCGAAGCGGCTTCGGTGACCTTGGGCCCGGAGGAAGTGGTACTCGGGACGGAAGTGAAAAAAAGAAACATCGCAAAACGCGGAGGACGCCTCGGTGAGGAGGGGACAAGAGAGCTACCGTCGATCAGGAGAAGAAGCAGCGAAAGGAAGGTTGAACTTATCCTTGATCACCATGCCGAGGGGGAGCCGAAGCCGAACGTCCCGGATGGCGCCACCCGCCAGGTGAGAGGTAGCATGCAGCCAGAGGGACCGAAGCCGGGCTGCAAAATCCGGACACGAATGGAGGGCAGCCGTGAGAATGTGGTGGACCCTTAAACGGGCCTGGGGAGGGGGCGGTTTTGGATGGGAGTGCGTTGAAAGACCGTTGAGAGTAGCTGGGTGTTGTTAATTTGCCTTGTCACGGCTGAGGGGGTCACGTGATCCGCGGCGGCGGCGGCGACTCGTCAGGTAGAGAAGATTAGAAGGCCGTTTGAGAGGGCTGGAGGAGTGGGAGGCGCATCCTTGGAGGTTGGGCGGATGAGAGGCAGAGGAAAGAGAACATGGCGGGCGGAATTTAAAAAAGAAAGGATGCCGATCGCACGAGGGAGTTTTTATTTATTAGATTTTTATCCCGCCTTTTTAAATACAATTTATCGCGGCAAACATTGTCTACTATTAAAATCATTTATGAATTTTTTTATGCCGCCCATCTCGCGATTCATACTTAATCCTGCTGCCTCATATTTTCCCCACAACAACCCTGAGGGGCGGCCTGGGCTGAGAGAGATTGACTGGCCCAAAGTCACCCAGATGGCTTTTGTGTCTAAAGGAGGCCTAGAAAACTCGCAGTCTGCTGATTTCTAGCCAAGCACGTTCATCACTACACCAAACTGACTCACTTTCACGTAGTTCAAGGCAACAAACATGCCTCTCTTCACTTCAGTGCTGCCACACAGCAAACCTGTGGGGTAGGTTGGTTGACCCACACTTACTGAGTTTAGGATTGAGGGCTGAAAGCGGACTCGAATTTATTTGATTGGGGCACATGGTATGCAATAGGAATAGTTGGTCAAGAGGCGTGAAACGAAACCAAAATCCTAGGCATAGTTAAAAGGAAGTGGTGGGCTGCAAGATGGAATAATTCCATAGATGGGTATAGAACGGAATTGGAACATGTAAATGAGGACTCAACCATCCAGGCCAAAAGTATCTAAAAAGGTTAAATCGTGGCAATTGGACCAAAGTTTATTAAAACTGAAACATTTCATTATTCATCCAAGTAACTTCTTCAGTCAAAATGAAAATTTTGGATAGGTAGAGAGTCAGGTAGAGGGTCAGAGTGTTGTTGGAATGAACCAACTCGCTATACAGACTTCAGGAGATTTCTCCCCAAAATGAAAACCAACTTGTAAATGAAGTCTCAATCACCCAGGCCAAAAGTATCTAAAAAGGTTAAATCATGGAAACATAGAATTGGAAGATACTGGAAAAATAATTTAGTCCAACCTGCTGCAGTGTGCAGAAAAACCAATTACCCTTGAGTTGTGGATAGCCAGTCTGTTTTTAACCAGATGGATGTCCCATAAATTCCAAGAGTAGATTGTTCCAGCATTGTACAGGTCTTATCATCAAAATGCTTTTTTCCCGATGTTTAAACATATCAAGATAGTTAAATCCAATATTTTTATTCTTGTTTCTGTCATAATAGAAAAGAGTCTGTCTTTTAAATAAAACTGTCTTTATAGCAGCCCTTTTATGTAATTGACCATTGATATGTCTCCTGTTGGTCATCTTTGGTCCAGACTGAATCTCTGCCTGACCTTAGAGCAGGGGTTCCCAACCCCCAGTCCGTGGACCAGTGCCAGGCCACAGCATGCCAGAAACCAGAACGCACAAATAAGCAAAGCCCCATCCATGGCATGCAGGCAGCACACAAAACCATGTAACCTCCGGTCTAGAAAAACCTTTCTCCACGGAACTGGTCCCTGGTGCCCAAAAGATTGGGGACCTCTGCCTTAGAGAACATGATCTCAAATCCTCATTTAATTTTTGTTACCTCTAAACCTCTTCTAATCCATCAATAGTCCTTTTGGAGTTAGGATGTCCAAAACTGTACAGATAGAATTTATGCTTAAACATTCTAGTCAAGTCTGAAGTCTTAGTGCTATAGGCTTATCCTGGGGAAGCACAGTCTGTTCTGCACTGGATTATATGTGTCAAATGTCTTCAAAAGCAACAGTTGCTGGCTTCCGCGTTTTATAAAAATCACAATTATAAATGCAAATTATAATGCAGTTGTAAATTGTAATATACATTGTGCTTTAAATTGTGTCTTCCTACTTTCTATATATGATTCAGAGTGATTTCTGTAGGGACAATCAAAACCTGTTAAATATAGGTTTCATTTTCTATCATTTTTCCCCATTAAACAAGTTTTAAAAGATGGACAAAATGACCATCAGCTAGTTTTGCCAAACACAGCCATATCTGTGTTTTTTATGTCTTCTGGGCAGTACAGATTAGATAAGCTCTATGTGAATATTTAACTTATCTAGCAGTGTCACAGCTTTGTGATTCGTTATGTTGACAATTCAGTTAAACATTACAGTAGGGAAAATCAGTGTTCCTTGTCTTTGAAAAGAAGAAAATCAGATTGCTCCAAAGAGTCATCTCTAACCTTATACTGTGAACAAGAGCTCCTCATCTTACCTATGATAAATTTGTCCCCTTTAGTATTTTAGAGTGCCATAGGATGGTTCAGACAGCATGTCTGAAAACTTTATGTTCTCCAGGGACAGGCACATTGTATGACTGATACAAGTTGATTCATCTGAATATAAGAGTAACAATGTAACAGACATTATATTGAAACTTAAGTATTTTCATCTGCTCAGGCTTCTTGAGAGAAAAAGCCAAAGCGTGAACAAAACAGACATAAATATTGCTGTTTATACTGCTTGAGTGTCTCTTATATGTTGTAATGGTGCAAGACACTAAGATACAGCAGGTATTATTTGCTGTCTCGATTATATACTTATCTGTTGAGAAAGTCTGTGAGAATGTGGTTGGCACTGAAAAAATAATTCCCAATTTCAACTGGAATTTCATTGCATTGTTTCCAAATTTACTATACTGGCTCTGTGTTCTCAGAAAG